TGCTCTTTGTTACTAGGAGTGATGCCCTTGTTCCTAGTAGCTTCTTGGTAAGTATAGTTATTCATTTAGTAACTCTCACATTGAGAAAACTCTTGGTCAGTCTTCCCAATCCCTAGCCATATGCTTGTTAGTTTGTGTACACATATACACACAGCATGCACGTAGGGTTCCCTAAGTTACCAAAGTGATCCGTGCTGTAACCACAAAATTGAATAATCTCCAAGTTCGGGGCACTCAAAACAACCTTGTTTGCGCGTTTCATACATGCTGATGCTCAGTTTGGCCGCTTTTGCAAGTTTGGGAAGTCGTTTCTACGACGCACTTGTTGGAAATACAATTATGCTGTTTGCCTTTGACTTCCTGCCTCTCCCGTGGCCTCCTTCCTTTTGCCCTTCCCTCTCTTCTATCTTCCCTGTTCTTTGCCTTTCCCATCTCCAAGTTGTTTCCTGTTCTATGGAGACGTGTTCTGGAGCTCTTGGTTGGATGGAAGGCAACCACCATGCTACATACCAACTTTCCAACTCTAGACTTGTGTTGAGGAAGTTCAGCTTCCACTGGGTGTGATCAAACTCAGAATTTTTAGGAAAACAAAATAGGACATCAACAGCATCCAACATAGGACACAATCAGGAACAAACATAGGAACACAATCAACAATGGAAAATAAGGAACAAGACAACATGGACGAGCAGCCAGAAAGGAAAAACAAGGAAACCAACCATGAACAAAGAGCTCAGGAGCTGGGTCCTGGCAGGATTGGGTTGGGGGGTGGGGGCGGTCGGCCACGACAGGCCGGGGGGTCTAGGACCGCTCCCAGGGAATTCCATTGCCCGTCTGGACCCGATTTGACCCGAAAGCAGCTCACCTTTCCAAAAACTGCAAAACTAGCAAAGACCTTGAAACGCATCCTCCCTTGAACACTGTTGATTGTTTAGTTCGCCTTACTTCTGCAGATGTTTGATTCTGTTCTTGTGATCCTTATTGCGGCATCATTGCTTCTAGCTGTTCGTCTTGCTTGGCTATTTGTTTTGTGTTTTCTAGAGTTGTGCGCCCTATCTTTTTCCTTATTTATTGTCCAATGTTTTTCCTCCTAATCATTGTCCTATTTATTGGCCTCCTATTTTTTCCTTAATTGTGTTATTTTGCAATTTGCAATGCCAAGCTTTATTTAGCGCAACACAACTCTAGACATAAACATCTGAAACATGCCCGATACCGGCATCATCCTTGTTGTTTGTGATCCATACCCACCGGTGGATGCATGCATGATCTCTTTGCCAGGTTGCCACGGAGCTTCATCAGTGGGCACTGCCCGCAGATGCGGAAGAAGGTGGGAGGGAACGAGCTGCAAAGCAAAAGCGAAGCGAATGACGAAGCGAATGACGAAGCGACAGAGGGTGGAGGCTTTTCCTTGTATTTGTGTATTTGGAGGGACTCTCAGTTTCTGACCCCCCCTTTTGGCAGGCTTGGAGAATGCTGTCAGAAGGTCCTGGCCTTAGTTTGGGCTTTATAGTTGTTATATAATTTGCAATCTTGCTGATGGAACAGGTGGGTGAACCAACTTCAACCACAGCAGGCCTTTTAAGGCTGGTAATTTGACGAGTCCGAAACATACAGGAAGAGATTTCTCCACCTTATGACCTCGCTCTGTCTCAAAAAGTAAGAGCCAGGGACCCAAAAGTAGTATATAGTCAATTTATTCTTTTGGCCGGTGTAGTGAAATTTTGAGCCTTTCTGTTTGTTTTGTAGGGACTTTGTTTTGCAAGGTCTGCTAAAGTGTATTGCGCCTGACTTGCTTTGTCTAAGTCTAAGCTGGACGATGTGTGCTGATGTTCTGGTTATGCTTGTACAGTTCAGGAACCTGGGGTCAGAAAATGTGAGTAGAAAGATTTGGGGGTTATATACTTAGCTTCAAACAGCGACTTGCATTGTGCTGCTACCCCCTGCTCCCCTAGGTTTGAGCGAAAATAGATTTGACTGGTTGCATGGCAACCGCCAAAGCTGGTGTTTCAGAAAGCTCGGAAAAGGGTTTTTCAGGATGCAATTATTGACAAGGAACTCTTCAAACATCAGCAGCTTGTACTCCTTGGGCCTTGGTTCGTCTTTCGTTCGCAAGACCTTGTTCGGATGCCTTTGTTATTACGCAGGTTTGCCCAATCTGAGGTTTGTTTGCAGACATGAAGTGGTGCGGGAGAACTTCTTGTGCTCGACAATGTGATTGCTTAAAAAAGACTTGCCGCTGCCCTTGATGTTGCAGAGTGCCTCCGAAGAGCACGGCTGTGAGGTTTGAGGAGAATACAAGTCACCGGAGGAGACACATGATCATAGAGACTTCACTCAGTCCAATCATAAACTAGTAAGCTCCAGATATGGCAGTCGAACGGGTATGATTTTGAGCAAGGGCAGTGCTGCAGCATGTGTGTGTCCTGCATGCCAAACACATACTGTAAATTTGATGACTGAAATAGTCCAAGAAGTATGTCTCCAGCAAGGACATACTTGCGTATTGAGTTTGTGTGACTGCACCAATTTGTGATTGACGATGCAATGATGCTCATTCCATCTCAAGGTAGTGTCGGTGTTAGATTTTGTTTCCGGTTCAACATAGCAGGTGCCGCTCGCTACCTACTGTTGTCTCATGGAGCTGAACGGAACCGTGAAGGCCTTCAACCCGCACAAAGGATGGGGCTTTGTGGAATGCAACGGACAGGACATGTTCCTTCATAAGAAAGACTTGAAGGGCTTCTGTCCAGCAAAGGGAGACCAAGTGAAGTTCACCGTCGGCCAGACTGAGAAGGGAGCTGTTGCAGAGAACGTGACGGTGGTTGCCCAGCCAGAGGAGACCGGATACTACGGGCAGATCAAGAGCTACAACCCGAGCAAAGGCTTTGGCTTCATTTCGTGCGAGGCATTCCCTGATCAAGATGTCTTCGTCTTGAGGTCAGAACTTCCGGGTGGCTTTGGCCCTGAGGGAAGTCCGTGCAAGTTCAGCGTGTCCATGGATGAGAAGGGCCCTGCAGCCAAGAAGGTGATGCTTCTGGGAGCTGCAGGAAGCCAAATCCAGCAGATGAAGATGATGATGGGATACGGCGGCTGGGGCAAAGGTTTTGGGAAAGGCTATGGCAAAGGTGGTGGCGACAAGACCTGCTGGGACTTCAAGAAGAATGGAAGTTGCCCCAGGGGAAACGCATGCAAGTTCGAGCCATGCTGTCACTCAACAGAAGCCTGAGGACTTTCTGTCCCAATCGTGCAGAGTGTCCATTGGGTTTGAACATTTCTGTGGAAGTTGGTTTGACCTTCGTTCCGTGTATAACAAGTTTGAAACGAGTAGCCTGGTGTTGATTCCTCGACTTCGGAGTGACGGGAAAACAAGCTGCAGCACAAAGCACATCAAAGCGCACTTATTGGTCGCTTTGTGCAGGATGATCTCTTTAATTTCTTTTTTGTCGATTAAATTTGATCTGCCAAATAATACTTCTTCAAATCTTGCACAGTGCCAGAGTATATCAAGCTGATATTGGATACTTTTTGACCTTGCTAGGCCGCATGACGTACTGTGTATTTATTGGCGTCTGCAGGTTTTGCCAGATTAGCTCACAATTCAGGTGGCCATGCGATAGGAGGGGGACCGCGCGGGCCTCCCGTGTGTGCTCGTGCGTCATGTCCAGCAGGGTGCCCCAGGTTTCAAAGGCAAAACAGGAGATGCCACGCCACAAATCACAGCCAGAACACACGGGCCCATTCTGGTCAAGACGACAAAAGGCCGACATTGCCATGCAAAGACAGACACCTATGCGTTGCGATCACTTGATCTGGGCGGCCCCATATTTTGGCCTCAATAGTTCCCAATTGGAGATGCGTGTTGGGATATCAAGATATGTAAAGTATGTGAGGCAATGGAATCTTCCAGCTGATGTCTGGCATTGTCCGCTACTGAGCATGCCGAGTGCGACTGGTCGCACTCATGTTAGACCAAGCTTTAGGCCCAGTACACAGTCCTCATGCCGTGACAAGAAACAGAACTGAACTGTAGAAGTTTGATAATGATTTGCGAATGACCGAGAAAGTTCTGCCAACGGTTTTTCAACACCACCACCTTACCTGAGTGCTTCTTTTCGGCACTCAGGTAGGTACCACGGCGGATGCGACCGGCCGCATGGAGAAATTCACTGAGCTGGTGCGGCTGAGAGGAATTCCTTTTATTTCCTTTGCACATAGACAGATGAGCCCGCTGTTGATTTGAATGCTCGGTTGCTTATCAAGCGAACCTCCGATGTATCAGGATGCAACTCCACTCACACAGTGCCCAGAGCGGAGGGCGCGTTGTGCAGGTAAGAAGTCTCGTTGACCAGCATGACGTTCAACAGTTGAAGGTGGGAGGGTGCCTGAGTTTCTGCACAATGGACATCACAAAATATCCTAGGGGACCCCAAATGGTCCATTCTGCTTCGTGGGGACATCCCATGGTTCGAGGGTCCTTTACTTTCAGAAACATCCATTCTGCTTCACTTGTAGTGAAAACGTGACAGTCCAGGCCTTGTTGCCGAAATAGAAGCTCCGAAGGGACATCACAAAGTCTTCTGGTTTCTTTTCTTACCGTTCAAGTGAGACTGACACATCTGGATTAATTCTGGATTGCCTAGTCCTACCGCTTTTCAAACATCTGCACCAGCACCACCCCAGGATTTGGTGGACTGCATGCTGGCGGAGGACCATTTGAACGGTAGGATATTCACATATCAGCATAGACCCGCAGACCGATTGGCTGACGTGACCACAATGAATGCATGATGTGACACATCCATAGTGGCACGGTGGTCTGACAGTCATTGCTATGGCATCAGGGATGGTTTTCATTGCAAAATCATTTTGATCTGAGCATTTGTGTCCGAAGGGTAGCGACCTGTTGTGCTGTGCCAGCACTGTGCCAGCCTTTGTACTGTGGGTTTGTCTATTTGGCAGCCCATGTGCTGGTTGAACTCGTTGAAAGAAGTTGAGGATAGTTGAGGCTTCCCCCTTTTCGCACCAAAGTTTCAAGTCACGATGGCACATCTTCTCTATCAACGCCTTCCTTCCACACGCCGCCCTTCTCCGTGACCGCACCGCCGCGCGGAGGAATCCAGCTTCGCCCTTTTTGCGCGCCCCGTGCTACAGCAGGCGCGAAGACGAACACCCCCCCCGCGGTGCCGGAACACGGGGGTCGGAGACGGAGGTCGCCGAGCAGATGGAGAAGCTGAAGAACTCCGAGCTGAAGGAGTGCGCTGTTTGACTCAAAGGTACTTTGGAGTGGAGTCGTTTTGGAATGACCACTCATATGTCATATAGCTTAGAATTCTCATGTTTGTATTGCATGCACAAGTGCCTTGCTGGTTGGCCATTTGCATCAAATTTCTCTTCTTCCGAATATGTGGAACAAGATTTGGCATGTAAACCGTGTCATATTATGCGCAACCTCGCCATTGCCCCGCTATCCGATGGTCGCCGAGAGTCCCAAAACATTCTGAGCCCTGGTGAAACCAATGCATCCTGAAGCATCCTGAGGACGTCATCAGCCCGTTACACCGCTCTGAAGCTAGGACCGAGTGTCCGGCTCCGTCTTTCTCCCCCCCCACAGGTCCGGTTCGTTCCGAGGTCCGGTTCGTTCCGGGTCCGTGAAGCGATGGACGTTCCGAGGAGTTGGCCCTCCATACCTTGGATCGGCTCCGCGGCCGGGTCGTCTCCTTCGAGGAGGAGGACTGCGTTGGAGTGGGAGGATCCATGAGGATCCAATGGGAGGATTCTCTTTTTTTTGGCGTTTACATGCGTTTACGTTGTTATTTTTGTGTGGTAGTGTGGTACGTGAGGGATGCACTTCAACAGCAAGTGAGGGTCTGCTTCCAAAGTGGGGAATGGATGTCATGCGCATGCGAGCTACTGTAGCTAAAGCGAGTCTTGGTAGCAGAGCTTTCACAGTCCTTCCATTCCCTTATGTGTCGAGAAGCTGGGAACCAGCCGTCGTAGGCTTCAATTTTGTCAGTCAGGGTACTACCTGGATGCTTGAGCCATCCTCACCGTTGTTCAAAGCTGTTCAATCCCCACTAATGAAGGTAAAATGCCTTCAAGAGGAAGACCCATCCAAGCGTCTATATGGATTTAGCACCAACAACGCAAGAACTTCGGGCTCGAGATCGGGCTCAGGCTTAGACGTTGTTTCTTTCGTGGGCAGGACTTTGTGATGCGAGAACTTCTATCCGAAGTCTTCCAGGCTGAGGGTGCTGGAAGCCTCAGATGTTGCAGAGTTTCAGCCGCTCCAGCGCCCTGCCGGGCCTGAGAGCGCATCACCGGGCTTCAGGTGTTTTTTTCCATGCGATTACGATCCCAGGAAGGTGTTCCACCGGCTGTGAGATGGTCGGTTGAGATCCAAAATGAAGCGGAGAAGAGTGAGATCTGGTTTTGGTGCTGAGGAGAACCTCCTTTTGGTTGAGTTGCTTCTCAGGACTGGGCCGAGGCCGCAAAATGCTTGGCCGCCATCAACCTCGAGTCAGGCGAGAGGGATGCATCTGGGGGGGCTGATGGTGAGTAACCTGCGTTGCTTTCAAAATGTCCCGCAAAGATATTGTAAATCTGTTTGTTCATCATAGAGATTGATGGAACACGATGGGATACACTGGATACACTGGACCTGAAGCGCATCGATGTGGCAAGGAATACAACTGATTTTCGTTCTCATTTTTTGAGTATCCGTAACATCATCTTTGAAGAATTGGCGATGTCGAACGCCCCACCCAGGAACGCGATGTCGAACGCCGCTTCAAAAGGCGCCACCGTCAAGACAGGTTGTCAAGGTCATTGTCAGACGCCTGCGAGGAGGTCACAGTTTGAGACTTGAACAACTTTAGCCATTAAGAATTATATAGGACATTTTTGCAAGATACAGCTTCCGTGTGCCTTTGCAAGATTTGCCAGCGAGGCGGAGAAATATGTTAAGATTGCGGAGTTGTACTTGGAGGATGAGGCAAGTGACCGTGACCCCATGAGTTGTACTTGGTGTCACATGACTGCTTTGGTCGATTCCTTTACTCCTTCATAGGCGAAAACGGACAAATTGTTATGACATGACCAACTTTCTCCGATTGCATGGGCTATGATCCATAGCAACACGGCGACTGGAACGGCGATTGGAACGGCCGTGATGTGAGGACCCAGTGGCTGCAGACACCTTCTGCTCACGGGCAGCTATGGTGATGCACGAGGCTGGGCACCACAGCCAAGTGGCGAGAGGTTTTTGGGCTTTCACTTGATCATTTCAACATACAGTATTGGAAAATGATAGAAAGATACGGAACATGTGACTTACTTGTGGACTTTTCAAGGGGTCCAGCTAAAATACCGGAGGTCAATGACACCCCGCTGCTGCTTCGCTATCGAGTTTGTCACGTATGGACCTTAACGCTGCCAACCGCTGACCTGGACGATCCGTGACATGGACGAGGCGACGTTGGGAGTGAAGCTAGTAGTAACAAGTGCCACGCTAGTAGTAACAGGTGCCTTACTAGTAGTA